TCAGCACTGGCAGGGCCCACTCAGGTAGCCCAGAGCACGCTACGTTTTGAGAAGAACAGGTTAAAAGTCGGTTCATCAACAACACTGGCTCAGTAACCCTAGTCCTCCCAAGGCCATCGAAAGCCACTGGGGTGCAGGATGTCAGTGTGATCTACCTGCATACTGTCGTTCTTTCTGATTACCCTCACATAACTTTCCCTAAGTTCCACCCTCTTACAAAGAGTGTAAGGGCACAACCCTCCCCTGCTAGAATCTCCAGAACTTATATTGTTTATGCTGTTTGAGCGCACAAACCCTTTCCTTCTCAGTTTTCTTCTTTTATTTTTCTCTCACACACTCCTATCCCTTAATTATGACCTGGTCTTGCCAGTAACCCCACCAATGGTGAGGGGGGAGCTGAGTATAGATTACCAAGGTTGATGACTAAATCTTCCCTGCTCCCCACCCAACACCAGCCCTACTTATTTTTCTCTGTTGAGGTTTTCTGAACGATAGTGTAAACTCAGGCTTTCTGATGACTAAACCAAAAACCACTGCAGTATTTTCGGATTCTAAGAAGCTGCATTCTCTTATGATGGGAGATTTATACTATTTTGTACCTTTTTTTTAAATTTTTCATGAGTTTAAAAGATAATTAAACTTTCTCCCACTATAAAATAGCCTTACTGATATGCTGTATTCATAAAGACAATAAGCACACTAAAATATAAAACTGTGGGAAAGTTGATCAAAGAGATCTGGAAATAAATTAAATAGCATAGCAGACACCACCCTTAAGAAAAATGTTATATTGTGGAAGCTGTATACAACTACTTCTTATAATGCCTCACCCCCATACTAAAAACTATGTCTTCGGGTATTTAGATTACACAGACCCATTTTTAAAAGCTTAATAAAATCTAAAACAAAAAGTGAAAGAAAAGAATTCCTAAGCCAAAACATAGTTCCTTTACTAAAGTACCTTAATTCCTCTACCAAAGACAGTCAATTCCTAGAATGTCCAATTATTTTAAATAAAGAAAATAATCTTTATAGAATTGTCACAGAAATACATAAACCTTAAAAGTAACTAAAGAATCACCTAGATTATTTATACCATCTGAAGACATAATTCAGATTATTTGTTCATTAAGAAAAATGCATTTAGAACTACTCAAGCGACACAACTGTCTGCATATCACTGTATACAAGTAAATTCTGTACTGAAAACCTGTAAAATAATCCTTTGAACACATGAGATGCTAAAACCTATAATTTCTCATATCAGAACAAGTTATTTATTATGCTTAAGCAATGTTTCTTTACATACACACAACACTAAAAAATGTTATAAAAATCTCCTGGCATATTTCTTTCATATTCGCTGATTTAAATTTGAAGTATTTTCATCAAACCAATTATTAATCTAATTAAAGCACCTAAGCAATGTAAAATGTCATCACTACCTTAATCTAAAAAAGAAAGAACAATCAAACTGCTAAACCTATTCCACTCTTAGAAAAGGGTACTTTAACGTTTTATGTTGTGAAATAATTTTAAATTTACAGGAAAGCTGCAAAAATAATTTACAAAGATTTTAAGTACATACTTCACCCTCCTCCCCAAAGGTTCATATCTTACATGACCATAGTAAAATTACCAAAATTGAGAAATTAAACGTTGGTACAGTAAGACTGACTAAACTACAGACTATTTCAGCTATTTTAGATCTCATCTATTTTCCACAAATGGCCTAAAAAGGGTATTTTTTAAATTCTCCATAAGCATTCAAAATTCATAGTTATACGGAGGTTTATTCCAGTCCAAATACTAGAGTAGAAACAAAGGGCCAAATTTGTTTGTATTTCTATTTCTGTAAAACAAAGGTTGTTTAACAGAACTTAACACAACAGTCCCATTATAACGTAAAATTAAAGACTTCCTTGTAAAATACATATTACAACTTTGGCTTTTAAGAAACTGAGTGAAAGAGGAATGACTTGCCTGCTATTTGGCTTCTCACTACTGAAAAGAAAATTTCAAGCAAATGTAAAGTGATTTCACTTACTTCCTCATATCTTTCTTGTGCACGGTTATACAGAAGTTACTCTGAATGGCTATTAAAAGCCTAGAAGTCAGAAGTGAACCTCCAACATGCTATCAAACTAATTTATAGTAACAGTTTTTAAAATGTTATGCTTACAATAAATAAAGGCCTCATGGACCCAAAACCTACTTTTTCCTTTTTCCTTCGAGAAATTTAGCATGCTGTTTCAGATGCCTGATATCCTAATTGCCTGTGACTGCCTCTAAAAATGATTGCTTAATAATCATATTAATTCCAAACCCATTCCAAAAGAGGACTTAAGAATGAGCGGGAGGCAGAGGGGAATAGCAAAGTGCCATATATATAAATCCTACTTGTACAGAAAAACCTCCCCTGACTACATAATACCTCACGATGTAGTCTATAGGGTGACCCAAAGAGAACCCATGAGGAAAATGTTAATTTCAAATGAAAGGAAAATACAAGTCAAATCCAACAATGACTCCCTTCCTGCTGTTTGTATCAGTCAATTCAAGAACAATTTAAATGTTTGCAAATGACCAGGATTCACATTAGCAAAGTCTTCAACAAGTGAGTGCCTGTTAGGTCTAAGGTTCCAAATACTGACTTTGCCCTCCAGGAGCTTACAGTCTAGCTCCTCGGTTTCTAAAATTGAGTTCCATATCAGATAAATAGCAGTCAATTACTACAATTTCCAGAAGAATCATAAAAAGTGCCCATGTCACTCGTTAACACCAGGGTTATCTTTCCCAACATAGAAAAAAAAACGCTGACTTTTCCAAAGTATTAAATGCCTCACACCTGTAATACCTAAAATGTAAATAGAAAAAAACAATAATACACTGTAATGTATCTGATTCTTGCACACACAAAATTTGCCAACTTCAATTTTTTTTAATTGCAACATTTCCAGGCACTCTCTTGGATGCTGTCCATCATTTCCCTTTACCCACTAACATTCTAGGGTACCTGGCTTTCCCAATTAAATACACACACAGTCTAATTAACAGTATGATAACAAACAAGTAAAAAAATACATTTACTATGAAACAAAAATTTTAGTAATTTTTAATTAGTAAATTATTAATAAAAGTTACTTTAGGTTTAACTGGTAATTTAAATCTGCCTTAATAAGGATACACATCAGTGCTACATAGGCTGAAATTCTTTTTAAGTATGAGAGGCCATAGTTTAAACTACATAAATATTTCTTACCATCCCCTCCTGCACAATAAGTAAAAAATCCATCCAAACACTATTTAACACAGCTTAACTTAAATCCCAGTCAGGGAGCTATGGGTCTTACTCAAGAGAAAACTATCACCAAGGCCCTCACTTGGTTTCTGATATTACTGAGTTACAAACTTATAAAATCAGCCTCTCTGCTCCATAATTCACTGATAAGAAAGAACACAGGCCAAAATCTGCATTAATTTTATATTAGATAGCAGTGTATCAATTTAAGTTCTCTGGAGCAAGCAAAATTACAAAAACGGTTAAGGAAGTATTAATTTTAAAAGGGGGTATTTCTCTATTGAACTTGACTGTTTGGGTTTCACAGCACACAGCAATCAGCCAACTACAAAGCTCAACTTCAATTCTGCAGCCAACTGTGGTCAAGGGTCCAGCAGCTCAGCACAGAGACACAACCCTCTGTGCCTGTGTGTATCTTGGACTCCAAGAAGTAAAAAAAAAAAAAGAAAAAAAAAAAAAAAAAAGGGGGGGGTGGTTTCCACAGGACAGACAGAAACATCTCCAACGTTTAAACTACGGATTTTACTTTCAGTAAAAGACGCCATCAAATTAAAAAATAAATAAATAAATAAAAACCAAGTCCAATATACTCATTCCTTCCGAATAAACATAAAATCTATTTCGTAACTCAAATGTAAGACTAAATAGTGGGCTTTTTATTAAAAGCAAAACAAGAAGCCCGATGCCACCACTGTACACGGACCCTCATCAAACTAATGAAATGTGCAAGCATTTGTCATCCATCCACGTGTGTCCTCCAGGTACCTATGGCAATTTGGAGGGAACCCATGCAAATGCCCTTCGGGGCTCCGCACCACACCTGACCCCTGCCTCCGGGCCACAGGTGCTCTCCACTAGGGTCACCTCCGGACTCCGAACGCCCCCACGCGCGCAAGTTGACACACACACTTGCAAGCTCTGCCACTGCCTTTCCTTCCCACTTGGGACCCCCGGGCAGGGGGCAGGGTTAACCAGTTGCCATGGGCCGCGGAGCTGCGCCTCGAGGGTAACAAAGTGGGGACTCAGGGGTGCAGGGGGTGCAGGGTTATGGCGGTCAGGGCCCTGGCTGCTCCTTGGACACGGGTTCCTCCCTCTGGAACCGATAAGGAACCCCCTCTCCAGGCTGTCCAGAGCTGCCGCCGGTCACCCCCACAGAAGCGAGGCCACCGGCCGCGACCTTCGGGGGCAGCTGCAGGGCAGGGCGCCGAGCGAGCGCAGCCGGCGCTGGAGCAGGGTCCCCGCAATCGCCCGCGGCGCCGCGGGACACCGGCCACCTGACCCCGCCGCTCCGGGTCTGCAGGACGGAGCAGCGCCCACGCCCGGCGGCCCGGCGGCTGCAGCTCCGAACTTCAGGCAAAGTTTTCAAAGCTGTTCCTCCTGGAGCCGGCCCGGGACTGCGGGTGGCGGCCATCCGGCGGGAGCAGGAGCCCAGGCCGCGCAGCGAAGCGCGCCGAGATGGGGGCCGAGGTGCCGGGCTCGAGCTCCGGACTTGGCCGCCTCGCCCGCCGGAGTCCTCGGAGCCCGCTCTCCCCGCCGCCGCCGCCCAGCGCCGGCCACCCCCGCGGTCCCGGCGCCCGGCCCGCCGCGCCCCCGCTCCGACCCGCCGCCTGCCGCGGCCGTCGACCCCGGGAGCAGCCGGCGCCCCGACCCCGCGGCGCCCCGCGCGCGCCCCGGGGGCGGCAGAAACGGCCCCGCTTACCTGAGAACGTCTCCCCGGCCGCAGTTAGCAAAAGTCCGGCCAAAGTCGCCAGGCCGGTCCCAAGAGTCCTCATGCTGCCGAGCGCGCGCGGGCCGCTCGGGGCGGCGGAGGGGAGCGCCGGGCGGGGGGCCACCGCGGGCTCGGCGCCAGGCAGCGCGAAGAGCCGGGTGAACAGCCGCGACGGAACCAGCGTCCAAAAGTGCCAACAGTTGCAGAAGTCCGAACTCCGGGGGCTCCCGCGGCGAGGGGTGGCGGGTCCCCGTCGGGCTCCCCGCCGCTGGCCCCGCTCGGCGTCTGGCGCTGCTGCGAGAGGGAGCGCGGGGCGCGCCGGCCGAGCCCAAATCCACCCAGGCTCGGGCGGCGGCACCGCAGTCGCTCTTCTGCCCCTACTCGGGACTTGGCCGCCGGCGCCGGCCCTGGCCGCGGCCGCCCGCGCCCGCCCTCCGCCCCTCCGCTGGCAGCCCGAGCCCAGCCCCCGAGCGGCGGCGCGCCGATGGCCGAGCCCGCGCCGCCTCTGCGCGGGGCTCTTGCTCCCCGACTGACTGGCGGTGCCCCGCCGGCCGGCTGCAGGGAGCGCCCACGTCACGGCCGCCCGGCGCCCCGCGGCCCGCTAGAGGGCGTGAGCGGCCGCCCCGCTGGCCGCGCCGGGCGCCCGGGCTCCGCGGGGAGAGAGCTCGGCGAGGGGGCGGCCGCCGCTGCCCACACCGCCGCCGGCGGCCCCGCTCGCGCGCAGGGGCGCGGAGGGGCGGGCTCCCCTCTCCCGCCGGGCCCCCGCTGCCTCGCCCGCTGCAGAACGCGCTTCCGGCGGGGGTGACCGTGCACGGGGCTGCGCCTCAGCCAGAAGTTTGTCCCGGGTCCGGGCCGCTAGGAGTTGGCGAGAGCGGCGGCCCCCGGGCGCGGCCGGCCAGCGCCATCCCCACACGGCGGAGTCGCGAGCGGGCCGGCGGCGCCCCGCAGTCTCAGGGCTCGCGCCGCCCGAGGCTCCCGGAAAGGCGGCCCGGCGGGCTCCGAAGGGCAGCGCCGAGCGAAGTTAGCCGGCGCCCGGGGAAGAGGCGGGAGCCGCCCGCGCGCAGCTGGCCGGTGCACCCGGAGGCCAGATGCGCTCCAGCCGCCGGAGCCCAGCGCCGGCTTCACAGGACGCCCGGCCCCTCGTGGTGCCGCCGCTCACACGGGTGGGCCCGCAGCGAGGTGCGGGCAGTGCTTGGAAGGTGGTGGTCACCCCGAAATGAGGGTTTGGCAGTAACCTGTGATTTCTGTACCTGGTGCAAAGTGTGGGGAAACCCGGGAGGAAGAAGGAAGGAGTCAAATGTCTCGGAATATTAAACTGACCACTTTGCCTCTTGGATGGCGATTTTTTTTTTTTTTTTTTTTTTTTTTGGTTAAAAAACAAAGTGCTTCTTTCTTCTTCCTTGGAATAAGTGCTTGAAGCCAGGTGGGCGGGCACATGGCCTAGCTAACTGGGCACAATGGAAGCCTGGAAAGAGGTTAGCACTGGGCAATAACACAGTCAAGGCAAAATCTGTGATGCAGATGTGCCCTGAGCTTTCCTGCACTGCTTCTATATAGTGCTTATAAAGGCCTAAAAATTATCAATACATCCTTGCCATGTCAACACTGGCTCCAGTGGACCCCAGAACAGGTAGATAAGGATATGTTGCTATAACTGGCAACCTCCTCCCAGGGTGAATTTGGGCACTAGAGGACTTGGTTATCCCAACTGAGTTCCTCTTTCTTCAGGAATTCTAGATCCTTATCACAAGTGCTCTTTAAAAGGCTCTGTATTAATCATTTACTTCTTAATATGACTTACATCATCCTCTTCTTCTCCCAAAAATGTAGCCTTATCTTTAATTGCAAAATGAATATTTGAATTATAAGAGTAGAAGGGTGTTTCCTACTTGGAAAAGATCAACAAGTGAGGATGATCCAATCCGCAATCAAGGCTTTCATTTTGTTGTGATCTTGCACTGTGATGGAGCTCAAATTTGCTTTTTTTTTTTTTTTTTTTCTTTTTGAAAGGTAATATACTTTCCAATGGAGTTTTCATGCTAGTAGGTACATAGAGGTAAAAGTCAATTCGGTCATTTCCTTCTTTCAATTGTGTGAAAAAGTTAATTTTAGGGTGGGATTTCATTTGCAAAGTATGTTAATTCCTTAAGCAATTATTTTTCTTAATTCTTTTTTTTTTAAGATTTATTTATACAAAAACCTGGGTACAGGCCAGATGTGTGGGAGGGCAAGAGGATTCACCAGAGACAGAGTGGGGAACAGAACAGGCAGACTGACCAAATACACTGCTGAGGGAAGCAGCGGGCGAGACAAGAGAGTTCTGCCGTGCCATGTGGGACACTCGCCAGCCAGCCAGGATCGAACCAGCACTGCAAAGGCTGTGGACAGCTTCACAGTGTGACATTCAACTGTCTGGGCCCCCAGGGGAGGCCCCTTAAGCAATTATCTATTAAGGTCATCCTATATGCCAGGCACTATGGTATGTGCTGGGGGGTGTCTTACACTACTCACACTCTCCCCCCCCCCCAGAAACAGATGTAGAAGAAGGGTTAAATACAACTGATTTTTATTAGAGAAGTAACCCCAGAAAGCAGCACAAAAGAAATGGGAAAATAAAAAAAAGGGATAAGAAAAAAAAAGTCAGTCAGAAGGGTACCACTGTGGGCAGTGGGAATCAATCCCCTGAGAATTACAGGGAGAAAGTATAGAATAGCCTTAGAGCTGGAACACCCAGGAGCAAGGAACGGTATAAGGCAGCTTAAGGGTGCCATGGGGATATTATCTCTGTTGTCTAACCGTTGTGATGTTAAGCTGACTCTACCCTTATAAATTGGCAAACCACATTTCAAATAGTGATGGGGCTTTTGCCAGCAATCCATCATTTGAAATTCATGTTTATTTATTCCATCTTACAGGTAGCTGGCCAAAGCAGCATTGAGCCTAAAAGGAAGGCCTTTACTGAAAATGAATGGATTGAACTTCCTCTAAAGAAGGGAAGCTCTAAGAATCCTCCCAGGAGAATGCTTGTTTTGACTTTTTATTCAACAGTAGGGATTTTTGTTTTATTCCAACCGCGTAATGCTTCTGGTCTCTGGGGAGACTAGTGACATTTGCAGGTTGTTTGGTCAAAATTAGGGCTGCTGTCTGGCCAGACCCTAACATTGGTGGGTTTGGGGGCCAAAGAACAAATGGATACTCAGCATATGACTAAGTATTTCAAAGTTATCAATCAATCAAGCTAGCATACTCTTATGTAAGAAGTTATATTATATGTTATATCTTCCTACTGTGGCAACAACAGGAATAGTTTTTATAAGGCATCAATGCGAATAGTTTTTTATAAGACAGAGGCCTACAAAATATAAGACTGAATATATCATTATGCATATCTAGTCTTCCTATTGATAGTCTGTGTGGATCAATTATTTTAAGAAGACATACATAATTTATATATTATTATGTATTTGTTCCATAAAATTGATTTATCTCTTTATTTTAGTAATCACTGATAGGCTGTTAGGCTCAAGATTGACACATAATTTGTGTACTAGTGATATGAATTATCTGAAGCTATGCTGTTTATTCTGGAGTACCTCCCTACACTTCTGTCAGTTTTGTTTCTCAGTGGCATTAACTATATTGCAAGGGTGCAATGGTGGCTGGAGGACAGCACAGATATAGAACATTTCCATCATTGCTGAAAGTTCTGTGGAACAACCCTGATAAAGGATTATTTTTTTAGACCAGAAAATTCAAGTTATTTTCCTATAGTTCTTAAAATCTACTTTCTTGTAAGTGATTCAAAATTATTAGAATTAAAATGCTGATAACAAATTATGATTATGTATACCAATAGTTAAATAAAAAGTATTCATGAAAGCTTAAAATTTTATTTTCATAATTTGAAAATTCGATTATATCTTATTGTTTTTAGTAAAGTAGACACCTATTAGCAAGTCTAGTTTCAATGTCTACTACTTGCCAATGTAAAGTCCATATTCACATATCACATGTATTGTTATAGACCAGAATCGGGTCATTTCATTAGTCACTCAAAAACCAAAGACTGAACTGGGAAGAATTTCCACAATGAAAATTTTATTCCAGGTGGCAACCATGGGGAATACCTCTGAGTTTGCAGCTAAAAAGTCGCCTGAGACCCACTATTTGAAAGGGCATATAAAGAGGCAGGGAAGGGGCTTCTCCTGCAGGCCAAGTGAAGTGCCAGCTATCTAGCAAACAGATCACTGTGGGTGTTTTCATTCTGGAACACTTCTTTTTTCTTAAACTGGATCTTTCATGAGTCCTAGATGGTGTCTGTGAGGCTCAGATGTTCCTAATTACCTCAAAAATTGGAACTTGCCCAGAATTGTTAGTTTAAGTTGTGTGTCTCCCACCCAAACTGTTATGCCTTATACCCTTTATCTAAAATCACAGTCTAACTAATGACCTTGCAGAAAAGGGCAGTTCTTCAAAGGCACAGTACATGGGGAGGGGGCGAGGTCAGCAACCCATTTTTGATGGTTACTGTTATAACTGCATCTCTCCCATTTTCACCTGATATTATTTAATTTTGCAAAATATTCCTCAACAACTGTGTTTACCTATGTGCTGGTACTATACTAGTGTGTTACTTTCAGAAAAACTGTGGATTAAAACACAAAGGAGAATCAAGAAAATTGACACTATTGCGAGACACTACTCATTATAAGACTGTGATATTCTTGCTATTGGAGAGGAAGGATTTGATTTCTAACTAATTTGACTTTCTTTTTTTTTAGCAGAGCCCCTCTGCATTACATCATCAGTACATCCAGGAGTGTCCATCTACTATGTCAGCAGCAGCGCACCCCAAAACCTGAAGAGTATTATTCTAAGGACATAAGTCAAAAGCTGTAGGGAAGTATTTCTTTTTTTTTAAAGATTAATTTATTTATGCATACAAGAACTGGAGTACAGGCCAGAGGTGTGGGGTGGGGAGGTAAGAGGATTCACCATAGACAAAGTGGGGGACAGAGCAGGCAGAGTGGCTGAGGGGAGCAGCAGGCGAGACAGGTGAGGTCTGCTGTGCCATGTGGGTAGCTCCCTGGCCAGCCTGGATGGAACTTGTGCTTCAGAGGCTGTGGATAGTTTCACAGTACAGTGCTTAACCCATTGCACCACCAGGGAGGCCTTACAGGGAAGCATTTCCGCGGGGCCTCGTTTTGAGGTGGGTGTTGAAGGTTGTGTTTCATATGCCTTTAGCACTGAGCACCAGACTGCTAGTGACCAAGGTGAGTGATCATGTGTCCCTCAAAGAATGCATTGATTTGGTTTGTGGTAAGCATTACTTCCTACGGGCAGTTGGCAGTTCTGCGCACAGACCCGGCTAGGTGGGCTCTATCCGGGACCCTGAAGGATATAGGCCCAGGGTATATGTCACCTTTCAGGGTCCAGGGTAGGAGCCTACCTAGCCGGGTCTATGGGAAGAACTGCTGACTGTCCATAGGCAGTGATGGTGTCTGCAATAAATCTGTGAAATCTATCCAAACCCCA